TACGTTAGTAACGGAGTACGTTTTCGATTCAGTGTTTGTATTTTATTTTATTTTAGCTTAACTTCAATAAATTAAGACAATTTGTAATAGCTTTAGTTTTAGTTAACCAAACAACTCTGTTGTAAATTATAATATTTGTGTTTATATAATTTGATGAGTACATTTGCTGATGCAGTGCTGATGGTATAAGCAGAATTTACAGCGGTCTGAAATCTCTATGCACAGAAACCTAAATAGTAAAAATAAAAAATCCGGCACAGTTTATGCTGTAGTCTGAAACACACAAAGCAGATGAAAATCCGTTCTCATCTTCTTTTTTATATAGTGTGCGTAAAGCTGCTTGATATTCAGCAGTGCTGCTTTTAGGGAGTGCTGAGCACGGCAGTACAGGAGTGTCATGAGGAAGATAAAGACATCATGGAGGGTTTTATGACACTGTTTGGTTTCCTGCCAAGAGATTATGCAGAGAAAAGTTCCAAAATCATGATCATCGATCAAATCTGCTTTGTCAAATACGGCTGCGTGACTGTGTCAGCTGTAGGGCTTATACATTTATAGAGGGGGGTAGATAACTCCAGGTTTTGAAATGATTTCCATGAATTTAAATATTGATCTGCTCCATTATCTGGTGTTATCTAGAACAGCAATGTGACATTCAGGCATGCCAAGCACATGTTTCAACAGCCTGTGTTAATTTAAGCTTAAAATATTCACAACTAAACACACTGTCTGTTTGATCTGCCGTAGTTCCAGTGCCATTTTATATGATCATAGCTCAACTGCATTATTCCAAGGTAATATATATATATATATATATTTTTTTTTTTTCAAAAAGGGTACTGAAACGTGCCCATTAGAATGTGCTGTCAAAAACATAATTTACACTAAATGTTCTTTATCATTAATGATACTGTCATACTAAAGGAAAAAAAGTCTGTATGTTGTTTTGTAATACCTAACGAGGGAGATACTAAGAGGACTACATTTGTAATAATTAGCTTACGTATATTTTCTTTAATGAAAAGGTCTTCTGTCAAAGTAATTACAAATCAAATTATTAACAAGCATCACAGAGTCTGCTTTAAACTATCCAATAAATTGTCTTTTTTATTGTCCATTTGTTTTGCATGAATATACCCTCATAATATGATGTCACAATATTTAATTAAAATGTCAAATATACAGTGGTGGCCAAAATGATTAGAAAACTAGTATTTTCACAAGCTAAGAAATGGTTTTAAGTCAGTTATTTCTATCTTTTGCTGTAGTGTGTCTGTAGGAAATATCAGTAATTTTGCACATTGATTGTAATAATCCAGTGAGATTTTTGTTTGCACAAGGAGTCTGACAACAGCCAGTGGTCCACACATAGATCTGATCTCATCATCATCCAACATCTACAAAACGCTTCAAGAAACCTACCTGCAAAGCTACAGTACTGTTAAACATTTTAGGAAAAAATGCTGTAAAATGAGGATGCTGTCAAAAATAATGTCATAAATAGATTTTCTTTATCAATTACCTTCTATTAACTAAATTAAATCAACATTTGGTTTGACCATCCTTTGTGTTTAAAGCAGCTTTTGCCCTCGGTGCACTTGCACATAGTTTTTCAGGAAGCTTTACTGGTAGGTTTCTTTAAGTATCTTGGAGACGTTGCCACAGTTCTTCTGGATTTATTCTGCAGATCAAATTTCCAAGACTAGTTCCCCCCCCCCGTCGTCATTATCTTCAAATTAAATGGGTCATTTACTTTTGGCAAACTTTGAATGATAAATCTTTGTTAGTAAAATCAAACTGGCCTAAAAACTTAGATTTAAGAGAAATACATTTTAAATGTGTATTTTGTCCACAGTACAGCATTCCCGGTGGGTGACTTCAGTGCCAGTTGAATAATAATGGCATCTAGGTCTTATTTAGGTCAGTGAACATACATCTCTGCTGTGATGTTTTTTTAAATAATATTTGCTCTTTGATGTTTGTGTTATTATTGGATGGAGGTGAGCAGCAACCATCCGTATTTGTGCTTCTGGGAGTGTGGAGGTGATATAAGCCCCTTACAGTGCTGCTAATAACAAACATTCATCCAAAAATAACCAAATCTCAAGCCGAATTCTTATATAAACATAGTACCATGAAAACATGACTCCTTTGCCTCTTCAGTTTTTAAATTAATTTGTGTGCCTGTAGTTTTAAAATGTAAAATAGTATGCTCATTAAGGCTGCATTTATTTTATCAAAAATACAGAAAAAAAAACTGTAATACTGTGAAATATTATTACAATTCTTCAGGGTCGCATGATGCTTCAGAAGAAATCAATCTAATATGCTGCATTTCTTTAAAAAATAAAATCAAATAAATAAAAAAGAAGGTTCCAGGTTCCAAAAAAATAAAATAAAAAATTAAGCAGCACAATTGTTTCCAACACTGATAATAAATTAGCATATTAGAACGATCATGTGACACTGACGAATGGCGTAATTGGTGATGAAAATTCAGCTTGCATTAAAACAGAAAACCATTATTTTAAATTGCAATAATATTTAACAATATCACAATATTTTTTTTCTTTTGTATTTTTGATCAAATGCATTAATGCAGCTTTGATGAGCATAAGAAATCTCTTTATAAAAAATTCTTTAAAAATCTTACTGATCCCAAACTTTTGAATGGCAGTGTATATTGTAAATGGCAATACTCAAGAATCAAGATTATGGACAAGACTTTAATCTATTTGCTACTTATTTTTTGTTTATTTATTATTTATTGTTAACAAAAATCATTATTTAAAAGTCATTATTAATTACTTTTTTTTAGGCATGCTTATTGAAATAAGCATACATGTATACAGTATGTCAGTGCTTTACGTTCTCTCACAAAACAAAGTTTCTCAGAGAAATGCAATACTTTTGCAAGAGACATTGAATTTTGTTTCTTCTATCTCATATTTTCCATACATTAGAGCCTTTTTATGCCTTAGTCATCCTTCTAAAAATATATATTGAATAGCAGGGTCATTATTGGTGCTAAATGGGCATTGTGATAAAAAGAAAGGCTTTACGGGATTGTCTCAAAGTGTTCTATACAAAGGCAATTAGTACAGTATACAAACACATGAGTGAGTGAAGCACATAAGTTGTATTTATGACAGTGTATAGTGTATTATTTTATACAGGCTGGGGGATAGATATAACACACTAATGGCTTGTGGTTGTTCTATAATTGCTAAGGGTTTACAGGTACCAGGATGATAATGAGCAGGTTGATTTTAAAAGGTTTAGCCCTAACTAGTGGCCATTGCAAAGCACATATGAATCTATAAACAGCACTTAGAGAGGGTAGGAGATGGCCATTGATTACCGGAGCACGTTCCAGCAGGGCACTTTTGTAAGAGCTGACGACAACTTCATTCTAAACTGTCTGCAAATATTCATGAAATTCCTCTCAGAGTCTCTTACAGGCTGAAATAATGCATGTAAATGTCTAATGCATGAGATAGAACACAATGCTCACTGCCGAGTAGGGTAAAACGTTAATTTTTAAAGATTGCTCAAATGATCGTCTAAAGCAAAAGCTTTTGTTTTAGTGCTGTAGCTGTTCTGTGGCTTTGAGCAATGAATGACTCATAATCTCACATGATTTTGTTGCAAAATAAATGTTTTAGCTCTGCATAATACTTCCCAAAGGCAACAGATCTTTTGAAACGTTGCCTTGATACTGTGGAGTTGATGAGGAAGTTAGTAAAGAGAAGAGATGGTTTAGAGGCTCACCTCTTTAAGAGCTGTGAAAGCACTGCTCAGAAGCATGTGATAATCAAATGCTCCATCTGCACTGAGAAAACGCTGCCTCTCTGAAAGCTGAAGGTGTGATGTATCGCTGTCATACCAACATGTCAGGCAGTGCATCTGGAGACGTGTGACAGAGACCCGCACCATCAGCCAGAGCTGACGCACCACTTCCCTACCATGTCATTTTGATTAAAAACCTCTAATTAAGTGTATCAATGTTCTGTATTTGAATAAAACCATTGGACATGACATAAAACAACGTTTCCTCAAATGTTTAGATTCCAAAGACTCCCGTATTTTATGTATACAGAAGCATTTATATTGTGTGAGGAAAAAATAACTGTGAAATTATAAAGACAACATGCAATATATTTAATTCTATATTATAATTTCAATTTAAAATATAAAATCTTTTTTTTTAATAGCATTTTTGTTGTAATGCACTGTTGTAATGTTTTTTTTTTTTTAGTATATGAAAATTATATGTTAGTATATGCTTTAAAAAAAGAATTAGAGAATGAGAGAATGACTGCTGAAAATTCAACTTTGCCATCACAGGAATAAAAAAAAATTAAATATGTATTAAAATATTAAACATTTACTTTAAATTGTAATAACATTTGAAAGTGTTACTATTTTCATTGTGTTTCTGATAATATGAATTCAGCCCTGGTGAGCATGAGAGAGAGATATTCCCTGATTACCCACTTCAAAAGTTCCAAACTGCCTTTAGAAAGAGGAATGAAAGAGTAATATTATTATATTTGATAAGTGTTTAAAATATTGCATTCCACACACAGGTTTGTTTTTATGGTTTATGGGGACTCTCCATAGGCGTAATGTTTTTTATACTGTACAAACCATATTTTCTATTGCCCTACACCAACCCTACCCCTAAACCTACCCCTCACAGGAAACTTTCTGCATTTTTAGATTTAAAAAAAAAAAACTAATTCTGAATTATTTATAAGCCTTTTGAATTGCGGGGACACTGAAAATGTCCTCATAAATCACCTTCTTGTTGTAATACCTATGTCATACCCATGTTATTATACAAATTTGTGTCCTCAAACCACATAAACATGCACACACACACCTATATATCTATATATATCTATATATCTATATATCTCTATATATATATATATTTTTTTTTTTTTTTTTTCCACTAAAGTTTTTTTCTGATCTTGCGGACCCCTGTGCATTCCCAGACCTCTGTTTGAAACCCCTGATCTAGAAGTACAGATAGGTGCCAGGTTTAGTAAAAAAAAAAAAAAAAAGTTTGAAAGGAAGAATTATAGTTCAAAATTGTCAGTGGAAGTTTAGAATAATTCAACGATGGAAACGACATGACTGATCTGTTAAGGAAATTATATATATATATCTTTGATGCTTCTCATTGCTACATGTTTAACATTGCAGCAAAGTCCACAATTTATCTGTTACTAATGGTATTCCTGCAGTTTCTGAATGTACAATGAACAAATCAATGTAATCTCATTAATATTTCAAAGGATAAACCTGAATCACAGAGAAGGAAAGGACTCATTACCGAACAAATAACCTGAAAAGCACATAGTATTGATCATCGTCTGTAACTGTAATAAACCATTGCACTTCAGACAGGAGAATTCTCAGAAATGTAGCTCATCTCAGTTCATCCAGAGACTTGAGTTTACTTAGCCCATCATTACCAGAACATTTACGTCATCAACAACAACAACAAAAACCCATCATGCTCAGTGATTTATCTTAGCTTTCCTTTGTTAACGATGACTGAATAGACCATCTTGGCTCTCTGCAAAATTGAATCTCTTCAATTCTAATGGTGGTTAATCAGCTGTTCAAATCCTTCCTGTTCCTCTTTTTATGAAGGTGTTGAAAAGCAAATGACACTGTGTTGAACAACAAGGAGAGAGTGACTGACAGAGCAATCCATATCTAATTAGAGCAGCTGGCTTTTAAACTAGACAGTTTGATGATAACGCGAACATTAAAACGTCTGCAGGCTGCATGCAAATGGCCTCTTTTAGACATACTGTGTTTAGACAAGAAAGACAGAAAGAAAGATAGATGGGAGAGAGGATTTGTGCAGAAATACTGGAGTGCGCTGAACAACAAAAACCCGTCATGCTCAGTGATTTATCTTAGCTTTCCTTTGTTAACGATGACTGAATAGACCATCTTGGCTCTCTGCAAAATTGAATCTCTTCAATTCTAATGGTGGTTAATCAGCTGTTCAAATCCTTCCTGTTCCTCTTTTTATGAAGGTGTTGAAAAGCAAATGACACTGTGTTGAACAACAAGGAGAGAGTGACTGACAGAGCAATCCATATCTAATTAGAGCAGCTGGCTTTTAAACTAGACAGTTTGATGATAACGCGAACATTAAAACGTCTGCAGGCTGCATGCAAATGGCCTCTTTTAGACATACTGTGTTTAGACAAGAAAGACAGAAAGAAAGATAGATGGGAGAGAGGATTTGTGCAGAAATACTGGAGTGCGCTGAACAAGAAAAATAACAAATAGTAGTTACAAAACCATCGGGGTCACAGATATTGTTAGAACAAGCAGCTATCAAATTAAATGCAAGCGAATACATTTCACAACTAAACACACTGTCTGTTTGAATAATTCATACTGTAAAATGTAGGATTTGGGACCATTAAAATAAAACATGGTTAAGTGAAATGAGCAACTTCAAATACTTGATGTGATAGTCATGACTAATTGGTTGAAGTGTGATCTAAACAGTTGGCAAAGCTACTTTGAGATTGTATTTTGTCAGTTTACAAGATACACAATTGCATGTAGTTCAAGAACTGTCATGCTATATTCCTCTGAAAAAGTAGCTATTAAAAGTATACATAAATGTACCTACAGTATACTTACAAATTACTGCAATTTCCATCTGAAATTAACACTAGTGGCAGAAAAACAATAGCAATTTTTGATTCCTTGTCACAAATTATGATTAGAGGGACAGATTATTGATTAATAAAGAGTTACTTCATGCATTTCCTCACACAATATTATGACCTCAAAACACAGAAAGAATATAGTCAGTATATTTAAAAACTTTCAAAGCTCCAAATTTGGCTTAAAGCTAATGTGAAATGAACCAACAGGTGCATCTCAATAAATTAGAATGTCGTGGAAAAGTATATTTATTTCAGTAATTCAACTCAAATTGTGAAACTCGTGTATTAAATAAATTTAATGCACACAGACTGAAGTAGTTTAAGTCTTAGGATTCTTTTAATGGTGATGATTTTGGCTCACATTTAACAAAAACCCACCAATTCACTATCTCAACAATTAGAATATGGTGACATGCCAATCAGCTAATCAACTCAAACCACCTGCAAAGGTTTCCTCTGAGCCTTCAAAATGGTCTCTCAGTTTGGTTCACTAGGCTACACAATCATGGGGAAGACTGCTGATCTGACAGTTGTCCAGAAGACAATCATTGACACCCTTCACAAGGAGGGTAAGCCACAAACATTCATTGCCAAAGAAGCTGGCTGTTCACAGAGTGCTGTATCCAAGCATGTTAACAGAAAGTTGAGAGGAAGGAAAAAGTGTGGAAGAAAAAGATGCACAACCAACCGAGAGAACCGCAGCCTTATGAGGACTGTCAAGCAAAATCGATTCAAGAATTTGAGTGAACTTCACAAGGAATGGACTGAGGCTGGGGTCAAGGCATCAAGAGCCACCACACACAGACGTGTCAAGGAATTTGGCTACAGTTACTTCTAATAAGTCGTCTGTATTGACATGATCACTTTGTTTGATGAAGAACTTAAGCATTTATACACTCTCAAATCAAACCATATGGTGACACAAACCTCAAACATTGCAATGTTTTGTCACATAACATACAAGAACCAATTAGGTTTGATGTTTGTTGATATTTGAGGTTTGCGTGAACATACTTGATGCCATTTGTGCTTATATAACTTCAGCAGACTTGGAATAAAGCATGACATTTTTTACTTTTAGAGTGATTACAGCCCAAATCAAAGTCCTTAGAGGTATTTTTATAGCTTCACAAGCCTTTCAAACAACTCACAGTCACTTAAGATCACTCTTATCTTAAAGGAAGTTCAGGGACTAAATACAGTGATTAAAGAATCACATGCTAGCAGATTTATCCTTTTGTGGCATTTCACTGTTTGATCGATAATCTGAGCAAAAAGAGCAGTCAATTACTCTAAAAGCACAGGCTAAAGATAGCTTTCAATGGCACCTTTACTGAGCCACAAATCGTCCTATGATGATATGTAATAGGGAGTTAATGTTTGTTAATTACCTTCATTTCTTCTTTTCCTCATCACTTGCGTCACTGGGTCTAACAGTTCCTGCAAATCTAATGTGCTTACAGACTGCTCATTTGACCATTGCTGATCCTCAGATCCACTAAAGAGGTAACGTGGAGGTTAATTTAGCTGCCAAATTCACATCATTTAAGCAAGATTAAACCGCTCTTTAAAGAGGCTGTTTGGCTAATAATGACTGTGCCCAGTGTCAGCCAAAGACATGTGCAAATATCCCAGTATCAGAGGCCTTTTAGATGAGTCTAATGGCCATTTTGTGATGAAGTACCAGGGGAGGAGATGTATTGATCATAAAGCATACAAATTCAGCAAACGATGAGACTCGCTTCACTGGTTTTGTTTCTAGATGCTCTACTGTATTATGTGGCAATTCACTTATTCACTGCGGGATAGGTTTTAACAAGTTTTAACTGGCCTCAGTAAGCATTAACTGCTTTAATAAGATTTCGGTCTGCATTCTACTGGACCACCGGGTCTCACGGGTCACCAACAGCATTATGAGCAGGTTGGGGCCGAATGTTGTGGCAGGTGTTATTTGTGTTCCAGTTGCAGCAGGTTGAAATAGCAAAAATAATGTCTGTTTTTAAACAGGTTTCCTGAACACTTTCCCATTCTGCCTGAACAATTTCCCATTTGCTATTAAGAATGGAATAATGTACGTCCAGATGGTTGTTATTGCAGAATAAATTCTGACAGAGTGAAGTCAAGGACCCTGACTGTGATAACAATTGGTTGGATGTACATTTTCCCACTTATTACACAGCTGCTTAACACAAGTACATAATTAGACAAAATATTGAATTAAGTTGAAATATTTTATTAGCTCTTTAAAAACGCATAGCTTTTGCAAAGAAAAAGTTCCTAACAAACAACTTTGAGCCCAGGCAAAGTTCAGACAAGATAGACATTTAAGGCAAAATGTACACTTTGTATGTACATTTTGTAATGTACAGTGGCCCAGTAGTGCACAACACAACGGAAACAAGGCCACAACACGATGAAATTAGCACAACACAACGGAAACAAGCCTCAACATAATGAAATTAGCACAGCACAATGGAAGCAAGTCGCAACACAACAGAAAAAAACCACAAGACAACGAAATTAGCACAACACAACGGAAACAAGCCTTATATAACTTCAGCAGACTTGGAATAAAGCATGACATTTTTTACTTTTAGAGTGATTACAGCCCAAATCAAAGTCCTTAGAGGTATTTTTATAGCTTCACAAGCCTTTCAAACAACTCACAGTCACTTAAGATCACTCTTATCTTAAAGGAAGTTCAGGGACTAAATACAGTGATTAAAGAATCACATGCTAGCAGATTTATCCTTTTGTGGCATTTCACTGTTTGATCGATAATCTGAGCAAAAAGAGCAGTCAATTACTCTAAAAGCACAGGCTAAAGATAGCTTTCAATGGCACCTTTACTGAGCCACAAATCGTCCTATGATGATATGTAATAGGGAGTTAATGTTTGTTAATTACCTTCATTTCTTCTTTTCCTCATCACTTGCGTCACTGGGTCTAACAGTTCCTGCAAATCTAATGTGCTTACAGACTGCTCATTTGACCATTGCTGATCCTCAGATCCACTAAAGAGGTAACGTGGAGGTTAATTTAGCTGCCAAATTCACATCATTTAAGCAAGATTAAACCGCTCTTTAAAGAGGCTGTTTGGCTAATAATGACTGTGCCCAGTGTCAGCCAAAGACATGTGCAAATATCCCAGTATCAGAGGCCTTTTAGATGAGTCTAATGGCCATTTTGTGATGAAGTACCAGGGGAGGAGATGTATTGATCATAAAGCATACAAATTCAGCAAACGATGAGACTCGCTTCACTGGTTTTGTTTCTAGATGCTCTACTGTATTATGTGGCAATTCACTTATTCACTGCGGGATAGGTTTTAACAAGTTTTAACTGGCCTCAGTAAGCATTAACTGCTTTAATAAGATTTCGGTCTGCATTCTACTGGACCACCGGGTCTCACGGGTCACCAACAGCATTATGAGCAGGTTGGGGCCGAATGTTGTGGCAGGTGTTATTTGTGTTCCAGTTGCAGCAGGTTGAAATAGCAAAAATAATGTCTGTTTTTAAACAGGTTTCCTGAACACTTTCCCATTCTGCCTGAACAATTTCCCATTTGCTATTAAGAATGGAATAATGTACGTCCAGATGGTTGTTATTGCAGAATAAATTCTGACAGAGTGAAGTCAAGGACCCTGACTGTGATAACAATTGGTTGGATGTACATTTTCCCACTTATTACACAGCTGCTTAACACAAGTACATAATTAGACAAAATATTGAATTAAGTTGAAATATTTTATTAGCTCTTTAAAAACGCAAAGCTTTTGCAAAGAAAAAGTTCCTAACAAACAACTTTGAGCCCAGGCAAAGTTCAGACAAGATAGACATTTAAGGCAAAATGTACACTTTGTAATGTACAGTGGCCCAGTAGTGCACAACACAACGGAAACAAGGCCACAACACGATGAAATTAGCACAACACAACGGAAACAAGCCTCAACATAATGAAATTAGCACAGCACAATGGAAGCAAGTCGCAACACAACAGAAAAAAACCACAAGACAACGAAATTAGCACAACACAACGGAAACAAGCCGTAACACAATGAAATTAGCACAGCACAATGGAAACAAGCCGGCAACACAACAAAATTAGCACAACACAATGGAAACAAGCCACAACACAAAGGAAACAAGCCATAGCACAATGAAATTAGCACAGCACAACGGAAACAAGCCGGCAACACAACAAAATTAGCACAACACAATGGAAACAAGCCACAACACAAAGGAAACAAGCCATAGCACAATGAAATTAGCACAGCACAACGGAAACAAGCCGGCAACACAACAAAATTAGCACAACACAATGGAAACAAGCTGCAACCTAACAAAATTAGCACAACACAACAGAAACAAGCCTCAACACAATGAAATTAGCACAACACAACAGAAACAAGCCACAACACAGCGGAAATAAACCGCAACACAACAAAATTAGCACAACTCAAATTATGTTTTATTAATTACACAGCCAACTCACCTCCACCCCAATGCCTCTTAAACTATTATCATCCCAGATAGCACACGTACGTCTGCAAGATGTCTATTAAAGATCTCTTGATCTGGAAAGCATCTGCTGTGTACAAACGTCTGACAGAAGTCTATAAGATGTCAGTTTTACATACATTCTAAATAATTAGCATCTTAAAGAGATCTACACTGAACAAAATTATAAACGCAACACTTTTGTTTTTGCCCCCATTTTTCATGAGCTGAACTCAAAGATCAAACACTTTTTCTATGTACACAAAAGGCCTATTTCTCTCAAATATTGTTAACAAATCTGTATTAGTGACCACTTCTCCTTTGCCGAGATAATCCATCCACCTCACAGGTGTGGCATATCAAGATGCTGATTAGACAGCATGATTATTGCGCAGGTGTGCCTTAGGCTGGCCACAATAAAAGGCCACTCTAAAATGTGCAGTTTTACTGTATTGGGGGGTCTGGGGCGGTCCGAAAACCAGTCAGTATTTGGTGTGACCACCATTTGCCTCACGCAGTGCAACACATCTCCTTCGCATAGAGTTGATCAGGTTGTTGATTGTGGCCTGTGGAATGTTGGTCCACTCCTCTTCAATGGCTGTGCAAAGTTGCTGGATATTGGCAGGAACTGGAACACGCTGGCGAAAATTTACATCTGATATGGTTTTCAGAAGTGGGTGTGGCAAAATGGCTCGATAGCGCCACCTGTAAAATTTCAACAGAGTGCGCCTCAAGCTACGTTTTACATACATGTTCAAAAATCGGTACACACATGTAACACACCATTTCCTACAAAAAAGTATCTTGGTACAAAATCCAAAACCCAACAGGAAGTACGTTACTTTGCAATGTAAGAGCTTTAACATGCAACGTCCGATCTGCCACAAACATCACATGTTTGATAAGAGTCCTGGCCTAAACACATCTTAAGGCCAATATTCAGTTATAATCATAGCGCCACCTGCTGGCAACGGGAAATGACTTTGTTTACACAAACTTAAACATGCAATGTCCATTCTGCACCAAACATCACATGTTTGGTAAGAATACTAGCCTGAAGAAATCTACACGTCAATGTTCAGTTATAATCATAGCACCACCTGTTGGCAACAGGATATGTCATGCTTTACACTAACTCAAAAATACCATGTTCAATCTGCACCAGACCACATGTTTGATAAAAGTCCTGGCCTGAAGATATCTACATGCCAACATTCAGCTATAGTCATGGCGCCACCAGCTGACAGCAGGAAGTTTGGCACATATAAATGACTTTGACATATTCCTCCTATATTTACCACTTTAAATGCATATTGCTGTTACGGGGCTGACGAGACGTGAGACGTGCGGATCCATCTGCAAGGCTTTATTGTGGAGAAGACCCACTGTTTGCTGTTTTCCTAAAGCCACCGGGTAGTGGTGAGCCTGCGTGTGAGGGCCCTTTCATCGCTGCTTGCAGATTTAATGTAATTTTGTATCACTAAAATAAAAACGATCGCATAAAATGGTATTTGAGTAAAAAGTATTTTAAAATGACCTGTTTATTAACTTTAATCCATTACAGTGTACAAAACAATCATTCTGGCAACAGGACGAACACTTTAACAATATTACCACAGGCTGT